TTCCTTTGCCTCTTGCCAAAATTTCTTCATTCTGTCCTCGGAATCACTTGGGCTTTCCACTGCAGACCCCCACATGCCTTTCAATCGCCCAGCTGCACCTTTACCTCATTTCCGGAATTGGCTCAAGCCAGACACTTACAAGTAGTCCATCACTTACAAGCACAATGAATAGGAATAGGAATGGAGTAGAGTTGAGTAGAGTAGAGTAGAATAGGAATAGAATAAATATTGGAGAATAGAATAGAATAGAATAGAGAATGAATAGAACAGGATAGGATAGGATAGGATAGGATAGAATAGAATAGAATAGAATAGAATAGAATAGAATAGAATAGAATAGAATAGAATAGAATAGAATAAATATTGGAGAATAGAATAGAATAGAAAATAGGAGAAAGAATAGAATAGAATGTAGAATAGAATAGAGTAGAGTAAATAGAATAGAACAGAATAAATATTGAAGAATAGAATAGAATAGAATAGAATAGAATAGAATAGAATAGAATAGAATAGAATAGAAAGAATAGAATAGAATATAGAATATAGTAAATAGAACAGAATAAATACTGGAGAATAGAATAGAATATAGAATAGAATAGAGTAGAGAGAATAGAATAGAATAGAATAGAACAGAACAGAATAAATATTGGAGAATAGAATAGAATAGAATAGAATAGAATAGAATAGAATAGTGCAGAGCTGGAAGGGACCTTGGAGGTCTTCTAGTCCAGCCCACTGCTCAAGCATTCAGCCAGGAATTTGGGTTCTAAGGCATTGCAGTCTTAACTCCTGCCTCCACATGACTGGACCCAATATTACAACTGTTTTTAGGATGCCTGTTTAGTGAAACAGGTGGTTGTTAAGCAAATCGTGTTGTCATAAATCTTAATCCAATTTATCAGTGTTTTTTTTTTCTGGAACTCAGCAAAAAATGTCACAAACGCAAAATATGTAGCTGTCAAGTGCTGCAGCCAGTTGTGGGTGGGAGCCAGTTGCCAAGCATCCAGAATATCCCACCTAACCATGAGTGTGTGTTTGTGTGTGTGTGTGTGTGTGTATGTGCAGTAGTTGTAACTTTGAGGATGGCTCCTAAATACAATAACTTTCTTCAAATCTATCATAACTTTTAGTGATCATTAAGCAAACGGTCGTAAGTAGGTAGAGAGACAGACAGACAGACAGACAGACAGACAGACAGATAGATAGATAGATAGAGTATTAATAGACAGACAGACAGATAGGTAACTTTTACTGTCATTTTGTTACTGGGGGCACAACGGCACACATTAAAAATGAAATTTAGTTGTTTGCTCTCTAAGTGTACACATACACAACACACATTTAAACATACTATATACAACTAAGTCTACTGAAATGCATTTTAACTCTCTTGTCCAGCTGAGTTGGAAAGGCCACAGCGTGCGCACACACACACGCACACACCCTCAAGCCAGCAAAAACATCCCATATGTTTCCACTGACTATATTCACCTGATATACCAAACCTACTTGGTATATTTACGTCTATGGAGATTCTCAATCATCCAGGTGCTGTGTGTATGTGTTTGTGTGTATATGTGTGTGTGTGTGTGTGTTTCAATCAGAATAGAGCTGGAAGGGACCTTGGAGGTCATCTAGTCCAACCCCCTGCTCAAGCCTGAGACCCTATACCAGGGGTCTTCAAACTTGGCCCTTTTATGACTTGTGGACTTCAACTCCCAGAAGTTGAAGTCCACAAGTCATAAAAGGGCCAAGTTTAAAGACCCCTGCCCTATACGATTTCTCTCCAGTATCTTCTTAAAAACCTCCAGTGTTGGAGCATTCACAACTTCTGGAGGCAACTTCTGTTCCACTGGTTTATTGTCCTCACTGTCAGGAAGTTTCTCCTTAGTTCCAGGTTGCTTCTTTCCTTGATTGGTTTCCATCCGTTGCTTCTTGTCCTTCCTTCAGGCGCCTTGGAGAATAGTTTGACCCCCCATTTCTTGGTGACAGCCCCTCAAATAGTGGGAGACTGCTGTCATGTCACCCCTGGTCCTTCTTTTCTTTAGATTAACCAAGCCCAAATCCTGCAAAGATTCTTTGTGTTTTAGTCTCCAGGCCTTTAATCATCTTAGTTGCTCTTCTTTACATGCATGCAAGCATGCATGTATGCATGTGTACATGTGTAATTTTATTTAAAGCAAAGTGCAAAATACAAGCCCCCCCCAAAAAAAAAATCCAAAAGAAAGACCAAAAAGAAAAAAAAACACAAAAGAATCTAAAAGTGCGTCATACATATACACATATTATCACCTCCTTCAACTGAATACTTGTTTTTTTGTTTTTTATTTTTTTTATTTTTAACCAACAAAATAAAACAAAACATAACACATACACACACAATATATACTCCTCTCCCTTTTTTTACAGCGATTACGTAACAATAATCTATTATTTACATTTCCCCCCTTATTCTTCTTTAGAATATTTGTCCTTATTGCCCCGTTATTTCTTATTTACATTTTTCTTCCTTCATGTCTACTTCTTACTAAGAATAATTCATATTATTATTATTATATATTATTATACACATATTTTCACTTTTGACCTTTCCATATTCTCAACTGAATACTTGTTAATACATTACTACAATATGGGTTCCCCACCCACCCCTTACAAAAAAGCCCCCCCCCTAAAATTTTTAAACTAATAAAATCTATTTTCAAGGGATCGACCTGTATGTTGTACTAGTGACAAAATAGTTAACAGGAAGAATAGTAATGCTAAAACAAAACAACATTAAACTCTCTGTTAACGAGACTTTATTCTAATCCCCTGGTAGAAATTTTACCGCAGCATTTTCTCCATCCCCTGTCGTTCCAAAAGCTTAAAAAAACAGCTCATCCTGGATCAAATATCCACATTCATTTCTTAGTGCCATCTCTCCTCAATTGTCGTCTAATTAAATATAATAGATTCAGTCTCCAAGACTGGTCTAATCTTCCCATCAGAGTCCAATAGAAGTGGTTTCCAATTAAGTGTAATCACTCCATCCAGCCTCCCTCAATCTTCGCAGGAAAAAAAGAACTTGTCACTTCCCCTTCCAGTGACAGTCCTGATATTTTAGGGATAGGCAGACTTAAACTTTGGGAAAACAGATGAAATCCACTCTTTATTAGTTCTCCAGCCCTGAGGATATATATATATATATTTGGTCTGGAATTGGATCAAAGGCTTTCTGTATATCTTTATCCAAAACAAGCTTGCTTGTTTTCCTGCAGACGTTTCATGACCCAAGCTAGGGAACGTCATCAGTGCTAGAAGGGAGGGGGGTTTGCGGGGAAGAGGAGGAGGAGGGGTCCTTGGTCCTCTGAGCTGGCTTGTTTTCTTGCAGACGTTTCATGACCCAAGTAGGTAGCCTCATATAGTGCTAGAAGGGAGGGGGGATTGCAGAGAGGGAGGGAGGAAGGGAGGGAGGGAGGGAGGGAGGAGCAGATAGAAAAGAAAAAGAATCAGTGAGTGGAAGGATGGAAGGGAAGGAAGGAGAGGATAGAAAAGAGAAAAAGAATCAATGAGTGGAAGGATGGAAGGGAAGGAAGGAAGGAAGGAAGGAGAGGAGAGGATAGAAGAGAGAAAAAGAATCAATGAGTGGAAGGATGGAAGGGAAGGAAGGAAGGAAGGAGAGGATAGAAGAGAGAAAAAGAATCAAGTGAAGGGTGGAAGGAAGGAAGGAAGGAGATAGAAAAGAAAAAGAATCAATGAGTGAAGGGTGGAAGGAAAGGAAGGAAGGAGAGGATAGAAGAGAGAAAAAGAATCAATAAGTGAAGGGTGGAAGGAAGAAAGGAAGGAAAGAAGGAAGGAAGGAAGGAGATAGAAAAGAAAGAATCAATGAGTGAAGGGTGGAAGGAAAGGAAGGAGAGGATAGAAGAGAAAAAGAATCAATGTGAAGGGTGGAAGGAAGGAAAAAAAGAAGGAAGGAAGGAAGGAGATAGAAAAGAAAAAGAAGCAATGAGTGAAGGGTGGAAGGAAAGGAAGGAAGGAGAGGATAGAAGAGAGAAAAAGAATGAAGGGTGGAAGGAAGAAAGGAAGGAAAAGGAAGGAAGGAAGGAGATAGAAAAGAAAAAGAATCAATGAGTGAAGGGTGGAAGGAAGGAAGGAGGATAGAAGAGAAAAAGAATCAATGAGTGGGTGGAAGGAAGGAGGGAAGGAAGGAAGGAAGGAGAGGAGAAGATAGAAGAGAGAAAAAGAATCAATGAGTGAAGGAAGGAAGGAAAGAAGGAAAGCCTGAATTTAACACTAACTTCCACTGGGGAGGTGAGGGACGCACAGCTGTGTGCAGCAGCAGTCCAAAAAGCTAACACAATCCTGGGCTGTATAAAGAGAGGCATAGAATCAAGATCACACAAAGTACTAGTACCACTTTACAAAGCCCCAGTGAGGCCACACCTGGAATACTGTGGCCAATTTTGGTCACCGTATCACAAAAAAGATTGGAAAAAATTCAGAGAAGAGCAACTAAGATGATCCAAGGCCTGGAGGCTAAAACATACGAAGAACGGCTGCGGGATTTGGGTTTGGCTAGTTTAAAGGAAAGAAGAAAATAGGGGAGACATGATAGCAGCGTTCCAGTAGTTGAGGGGCTGCCCCAAAGAAGAGGAGAGGGTCACATTCTCCAAAGCACCAGAGGGAAGGATGTAAAACAATGGTTGGAAACTGATCAAAGAGAGAAGCAACCTGGAATTAAGGAGAAACTTCCTGACAGTGAGGACAATCTACCAGTGGAACAGCTTGCCACTAGAAATCACGGGCGCTCCATCCCTGGAGGTTTTTAAGAAGAGACTAGACAGTCATTTGTCTGAGAGGGCATAGGTCCTCCTGCTTGAGCAGGGGGCTGGACTAGAAGACCTCCAAGGTCCCTTCCAGCTCTGTTCTATTCTACTCCTTCCAGCCCTGCTTCTGGGGCACCATCGCCGTCAATTCCTCCAGGTTTTCCTTTTTCCTTCTCCTTCCTCTCTTCCCAGGAACTCCATCCAGGCTCAGCCTTCCTACGGATCCAGTTCTCCGCCGCTTGGGAAGATCGGCGGCCTGAACAAGCTCCCTTCCGTCAGTCAGCTCATCAACCCCCAGCAGCGCAACACCTTGACCCCCACCAGCATTCCCGACAGCATGGGAGCCAACAGTAAGGCATAGTTTTTACACCTGGTTTTAAATTGTATTCCACCTTTTACGTCCTTCGTAAAGAACTCAAGGGAATGAACACATCCCACACATCTTCCTCCTCCTGTTTTCTGCACAACAACAACCCTGCCAGGTAGTTTGGGCTCTGAGAAAGAGGGACTGAACCAAAGTCAACCAGCTGGCTTTCGTGCCTAAGGCGGGACTAGAACTCACCATCTCCTGGTGATTGGCCCACAGTCACCCAGCTGGCTTTTATGGCTAAGGCGGGACTGAAACTCACCGTCTCCTGGTGATTGCCCCAACGTCACCCAGCCAGTTTTCATGCCTAAGGCGGGACTAGAACTTACCGTCTCCTGGTGATTGGCCCACAGTCACCCAGCCAGGTTTCATGCCTAAGGTGGGACTAGAACTCACCGTCTCCTGGTGATTGGCCCACAGTCACCCAGCCGGCTTTTATGGCTAAGGCGGGACTAGAACTCACCGTCTCCTGGTGATTGGCCCAACGTCACCCAGCCGGCTTTTGTATTTAAGGCGGGACTAGAACTCACCATCTCCTGGTGATTGGCCCAAAGTCACCCAGCCGGCTTTCATATCTAAGGCGGGACTAGAACTCACCGTCTCCTGGTGATTGGCCCACAGTCACCCAGCCGGCTTTTATGGCTAAGGCGGGACTAGAACCCACCGTCTCCTGGTGATTGGCCCACAGTCACCCAGCCAGGTTTCATGCCTAAGGTGGGACTAGAACTTACCGTCTCCTGGTGATTGGCCCACAGTCACCCAGCCGGCTTTTATGGCTAAGGCGGGACTAGAACTCACCATCTCCTGGTGATTGGCCCAACGTCACCCAGCCGGCTTTTGTATTTAAGGCGGGACTAGAACTCACCATCTCCTGGTGATTGGCCCAAAGTCACCCAGCTGGCTTTCATATCTAAGGCGGGACTAGAACTCACCGTCTCCTGGTGATTGGCCCACAGTCACCCAGCCGGCTTTTATGGCTAAGGCGGGACTAGAACTCACCGTCTCCTGGTGATTGGCCCAACGTCACCCAGCCGGCTTTTGTATTTAAGGCGGGACTAGAACTCACCATCTCCTGGTGATTGGCCCAAAGTCACCCAGCCGGCTTTCATATCTAAGGCGGGACTAGAACTCACCGTCTCCTGGTGATTGGCCCAAAGTCACCCAGCCGGCTTTCGTGCCTAAGGCTGTTGTGCAAATTATGGATGGAGATCCCAGTTTTGCAAAGTAGTCCTCCCACCACAGTTGGGAGCAAGGTTGTTGCTCCCAATTGTGATGGGTTTTTCAAGTTATGGCGGCCACACACAAATTGTATTTGGGTGCTTGGCAGCCGACTGTAATTCCAAAATCTGTGGACATTAGACCCACATTGTTTCTCAAACATGGCCACTTGACAATGGCTGGCCTTCAACTCCCAGAATCCACCAGCCAGCATGCATTAAGAGGGCTGGACTTCCACTCCCTGAATTCCTCAGCCTGAATGCTTTATGATGGATGGACGTCAGCTCCCAGAATTCCCCAGCCAGCCTGCTTTAAGAGCGGTGGACTTCAACTCCCAGAATTCCCCAGCTTATCTTTGACCTGCCATTTCTTCCCTTCTCCCGCCCAGTTCCGATGATGGGAGGCCACATGACGATGGCGGGCGACATGAACGGGCTAAGCCCCACCCAGACGCTGGCCCCTCCCCTCTCCATGCCGTCCACCTCCCACTGCACCCCACCACCGCCGTACCCCACAGACTGCAGCATCGTCAGGTGAGTGAAGGGAGCAGGAGGGTGGGGCCACCACCGGGCGCTTGGCACGGGGAAGGGGTTTCTGTTCGATCGTGGTTAGCCCCGAGGCCGACTCTGCACCCTTTGCGGAAGCAACGTCTTGCGCTGGCTTAGCAACCTGCCTGTTTCCCTCACTTTTGCAGAGGCAAAGCTTATCTGCGCGGGCATCTCCCGTGTAAGCCTGGGGGTGCACAATAGGTGCCCAAGGGAACGGAAGGGACCTTCTCACCGGGTGGGTGACACACAGGCGTCAGAAATAAAATCACACCCGAATTTGGCCCGGGGGTTTAGGTGTGGCCGCCATCTTGACTTTTCTGACCCGCACCCTTCAGACTCTCCTGTGCCCAGCACTGACTTTGGAGCTGCTTGCCTGCTTCCAGGAGGGAAAAGGATCTTGGCTTGGCTGAGCCGGGCTATTGAACTCTCGGATTGACTGCTGCCATTCCCGGTCTGTGGGGCTGCCCTTGGAGATAGCACATTAGCCACCCAAAGGGCTGCTGGGCTCCCAGTTGCAGATAATTAGCTTCAATGCCCCCGTTTGAGACCTCGGCGGTGGGTCTTGTCCCGCCAGACTCCGGACACGGATCGGTTTCTCGCACTCGCTCCACATGCCTCCTGTAGAGGCAAGGACTGTGCCCGCTTGCCAAGGGCAGGGCCTTTGTGGCTGGCTCCAGACGACCCTTCCGCCGGGGCTGGCCATTCTCCCCCCTCGGAATGGGACCCCTCCCCGTGGCCAACTGCCCGCAGCGTGACTCCTTTGCGGGACAATTCAGCCGATCACCCAAAGTTAAATTAATTTCGACGGAACGGCGGCCGGCGATAACAAAATAAAGGTTTCATCCAGAAGGACGAGAGTCACCGTTGTTTTGACGGGAAGCGGAGGCTCACCCAACCGTAAAACCAAGCGAACGAAACGCTTCGGACGGCACTGAATTGTCCCGTGGCAAGTAGTCCCACGGCGAAATGGCTGTGGCGCGTTGGCCGTGGCGAGTTATCCTAGACCCTCGCGCACCCCCCCTCCCCTCCTCTGGGTGGTTGGGGTCTCTATTTTCAACCTTCTGCCCTCGCGCCTCGTGGTGGTTGCGCTTCGGCTGTTGGCCTCGCTTCGTTGCTGCTTGGGCGCTTGGGGAAAGCAGCCGTGGGGTGGGAGCGGGGGGTCCGGGAGAGCGACTCGTCCTGGAGAGGGGGGGGTCCAAGGGAATCGCCCCCTCACCCACTTTAGCGGCCTTGATGGGATCCTTCCAGCCGAGCGTCCCCTTCCACATGGCTGACTCCAGTCTCCCAAACCCCCACTTGGTCTGTTGGTTCCACTGCAGTGGGACAACCCCACGGAAAAGACAAGAGACCGCAACGCAAAACAATCAACTCTTGCTTCTAAGATTCAGAGGTTTATTTTGCGAATGATTTGGAACACAGCAAGCAGTGGGGTTTTCCTGGGGGGGGGGAGAGCCTCTGTTCCCCCCCCCCTGACCCATCCCCTCGCTGGGCCTCCTCCAGTTTTCCTGCCAACGGGAAGCACCCCACTCCGGTCCCTCCCCAGCTGGGTTGTTTTGTTGCAGACGCTTCACGACCCAACTAGGTAACAGCATCCGTGCTAGAAGGGTGGGGGGTTGCAGAGAGGAGGAGGAGGAGGATTGTGGGGTGCTTGTTGCTCTCTGAGCTGGGTGGTTTTCTTGCAGATGTTTCATGACCTAAATTAAGTAAGATCCTCAGTGCATTTAATATCATTGCTACACTGAGGATGTTACCTAGTTGGGTCATGAAATGTCTGCAAAAAAGCTACTCAGCTCCTCCTCCTCCTCCTCTTCTCCTCCTCCTCCTCTTCTTCTTCTCCTCCTCCTCCTCCTCCTCCTCCTCTTCTTCTTCTTCTTCTCCTTCTCCTTCTCCTTCTCCTTCTTCTTCTTCTTCTCCTCCTCCTCCTCCTCTTCTTCTTCTCCTCCTCCTCCTTCTCCTCCTCTTCTCCTCCTCCTCCTCCTCTCCTTCTCCTTCTTCTCCTCCTCCTTCTTCTCCTCCTCCTTTCCTCCTCTCCCTCCCCCTCCCCCTTCCCTCCTTCCTCCTCCTCTTCCTCCTCCTTCTTCTCCTTCTCCTCTTCCTTTCCTCCTCTCCCTCCCCCTCCCCCTTCCCTCCTCTCCTTCCTCCTCCCCCTTCCCTCCTCCTCCTTCTCCTTCTTCCTCCTCCTCCTCCTCCTCCACCACCACAAACCCAACTCCTTTCTAGCCCTGATGATGTTACCTTGTTTGGGTCACGAAACGTCCGCAAGAAAACCGCCCAGCTCAGAGAAGCCGCCGGGACCCCCTTCATTTCAACCCCTGGGCTACAGAGATTCTCCTTTATAGAGTGCCTGGTGCGGATCTTGCCATGTTTTGGGCTCTGCGGTCTGGGTAACCTGCTCATCTCAATTTCTCCTTCTCTCTTTCCCCCCTCCTCCTCCTCCTCCTCCTCCTCTCTCGTCCACCCTCCTCGTCATCCCCCTGCAGTTTCTTAGCGAGGCTGGGCTGCTCCTCCTGTCTGGATTATTTCACAGCGCAAGGGCTGACCACCATCTATCAGATTGAGCACTACTCCATGGATGTAAGTAACCGACTCTCCCTTTCGTTCCCTCCCCCCCCCGGGTGGGGGGGTGGGAGTGACAGACCCCAAACCTCCGAAATGGGGTGGCTGAGCCCTGCCGATGCCCTCCGGAGGGGAGACCGGGCGGGTGGTGGACAAGAGCACGTGATGGCCACTCTCCCAAGCCCCCCCCCCCCCGCTTCTCCTCCTGAGCCCGTGCGCGTAGTTGTAGGGTCTTTTGCAAGGTGTGGGCCTAAACGTGGAGTTTAGCCGGTCACGGGAAATGCCCGGCGCTATTTGCAGACAATGCAGTGACCGCCGGCGGCCTGCAGCCTTTCCTTTGCCCACCCCCAGCCCCCTTTTGCCCCTCTGCAACTGTCCCCTTGAAATTGCTTGCTTGGCTGGGGTGCTCTGGGGCTCTTTTGGGGTTCAGCCTGGCCGCACCCCCCCCCCCGCCGCCCCGCTCTCAGCCTGGCGGTCTCTGCGCTTCCTCGCTGCCTCTGGCTGACCGTCTCTCGCTTGTGATCGGCCATCAGCGGGAGGGACGTCTTGACCAGTGTGCCAGGCAGACTCCAGAGCAGTCAGGATGGAGTTAGGGGTGGGGGTGGGGGGTCCACTTCTGACCCCAGGAGGTTAATAGCAGAATTGTTAATTGTGGAATTGTGGGTGGTTTTCCAAAACCGGATGGGATAACCATTGGATTGAGATGGTGTGAAGTCTTCTGCCTGAGCAGGGGGGTTAGACTAGAAGACCTCTGAGGTCCCTCCCAGCCCTTGAAGTCTGTGATTCTAAGAGCATGCATCAAAGTCCTGCTGACCTTAGGACAGGGGTAGGCAACCTTGGCTCTTTTATGACTCGTGGACTTCAACTCCCAGAATTCCTCAGCCAGCTTGGGGCAACTATGGCCGCTTCATGACTCGTGGACTTCAACTCCCAGAATTCCTCAGCCAGCTTGGGGGAATTATGGCCCCCTCATGATTCGTGGGCTTCAACTCCCAGAATTCCTCAGCCAGCTTGGGGGAATTATGGCCCCCTCATGACTCACGGACTTCAACTCCCAGAATTCCTCAGCCAGCATGAGGAACTGCGGCCTCTTTATGATCTGTGGACTTCAACTCCCAGAATTCCTCAGCCAGCATGAGGGAACTATGGCCCCTTCATGACTCGTGGACTTCAACTCCCAGAATTCCTCAGCCAGCATGGCTCAGCTTGGAAACCTCTCCCTTTCCCCTCAGCATGGCTGGCTCAGGAATTCTGGGAGTTGAAGTCCACGAGTCATAAATGAGCCAAGGTTGCCTATCCCTGATCTAGGAGGCTCACCACTTCGAACAGGAGGACTTAAGACAGAGGTAGGCCACCTTGGCTCTTTTTTGACTCGTGGACTTCAACTCCCAGAATTCCTCAGCCAGCATGGGGGAACTATTGCCCCTTCATGACTGGTGGACTTCAACTCCCAGAATTCCTCAGCCAGCCTGGCTCAGCTTGGAAACCTCTCCCTTTCCCCTCAGCATGGCTGGCTCAGGAATTCTGGGAGTTGAAGTCCACCAGTCATCAAAGAGCCGAGGTTGCCTACCCCTGTCTTAGAACATAGAATGATAAGCTTGGAAAGGGACCACAGAGGTCTTCTAGTCCAGCCCCTTGAGAAGAATCGAACAGAAGACCCCACACCATTCCAGACCAGTGGCTCCCCAAACTCGTCTTAAAAGCCTCCAGTGATGGAGCACCCACAACTTGTGGAGGCAACTTCTGTTCCACAGATCGATATTAATCGATTAAAAAGTTAGGAAGGTATCCCATTGAGCTCAGCCGGCTTTCTGAACGGATAGTGGATCCAGTTGCTGTAACAGGCCTCTCAATTATCAAAGGTTGATAATCCAAGACAGTTCAATATTTGGGGGGCTGCCACAAAGAGGAGGAGGGGGTCTCCCTATCCTCCAAAGCGCCTGAAGGCAGGACAAGAAGCAACAGAGGGAAACTAACCAAGGAGAGAAGCCACCTGGAATTAAGGAGAAACTTCCTGACAGTGAGGACAATTAACCAGTGGAACAGCCTGCCTCCAGAAGCGGTGAATGCTCCAACACTGGAAGTTTTTAAGAAGAGACTGGACAGTCACCTGTCTGGCTTGGTATAGGTTCTCCTGCTTGAGCAGGGGGCTGGACTAGAACACCTCCAAGGTCCCTTCCAGCTCTATTCTATTCCACCTCCAAGGTCCCTTCCAACTCTGTTGTTCTGTAATTAACTCCTTGTCTCCAGAAGTTGTGGGTGCTCCCTCACTGGAGGCTTTTACGAAGAGACTAGACAACCGTTTGTCTGGAATGGTATAGAATTTCCTGCTCAAGCAGTGGGTTGGACTAGATGACCTCCGAGGTCCCTTCCAGCTCTGTAACAGGGAGTCCTCGAATTACAGTCCAGAATTTCTGTTGCTAAAGAAGACAGCCCTTTAGTGAGTTTTTCCCCATTTATCCACCTTTCTTACCGCAGTCGTTAAGTCAGGAACACGGTCGTTAAGTGAATCTGACTTCCCCTTTGAGTTTGGTTCTCAGGAGGTCGCCAGAGGGGATCCCCCGATTCCCCGGGGACGCTGCAATCGTCGTAATTATGAGTCGGTTGCCAAATTTGGATGCCCCGACCAGTGGGAGGCTGCAGTGCTCCTAAGTGTGAAAAACGGTCACGAGTCTCTTTTTTTCACTGCTGTTGTAACTTTGAACGCTCATTAAATGAACTGTTGTAAATTGAGGACTACCTATATTCTCTTGTTCTGTTAAGATCAAGCTGTTGTCAAAAGCAATGCGGGGGGGGGAGGGAGGGAAGGAGAAGGAAAAGAAGGAAGAGAGGGAGGAAGGAAAGGAAGGAAGAAAGGAAGGAGATGATGGAAGGAAGGAGATGGAAGAAGAGGAAGAATAAAGGAGACGGGAGGAGATCAGAAGGAAGGAGTGTGAGAGGAATAAGGGAAGGAAGGAGATGGTGGAAGGAAGGAAGGAAGGAAAGAGATGGTGGAAGGAAGGAAGGAGATGAAGGAAGGGAATGATGGAAGGAAGGAAGGGAATGAGAAGGAAAAGGAGATGGAAGAAGATGAAGAATAAAGGAGATGGGAGGAGATGAGAAGGAAGGAGTGTGAGAGGAATAAGGGAAGGAAGGAAGGAAGGAAGGAGGGAGGGAGATGTTGGAAGGAAGGAAGGAGGGAGGGAGATGTTGGAAGGAAGGAATGGAATGAGAAGGAAGGAAGGAGATGGTGGAAGGAAGGAAGGAATGGAATGAGAAGGAAGGAAGGAGGGTGGAAGGAAGGAAGGAGATGGTGGAAGGAAGGAAGGAGATGGTGGAAGGAAGGAAGGAAGGAAGGAGATGGTGGAAGGAAGGAAGGAATGGAATGGAATGAGAAGGAAGGAAGGAGATGGTGGAAGGAAGGAAGGAGATGGTGGAAGGAAGGAAGGAAGGAAGGAAGGAAGGAAGGAAGGAAGGAAGGAAGGAAGGAAGGAAGGAAGGAGATAGTGGAAGGAGATGATGGAAGGAAGGAAGGGAATGAGAAGGAAGGAAGGAGATGGAAGAAGATGAAGAATAAAGGAGATGGGAGGAGATGAGAAGAGGAAGGAAGGAGTGAGAGAATAAGGGAAGGAAGGAAGGAGATGGTGGAAGGAAGGAAGGAAAGAAAGATGATGGAAGAAAAGAAGGGAATGAGAAGGAAGAAGATGAAGAGTAAAGGAGACGGGAGGAGATGAGAAGACAAAGGAAAGAGAGGAAGGAAGGCATCTCCCGGTGGTGCTGAATCTCTCTCTCTCTTTCTTCCTCCCAGGATCTGGTGAGCCTGAAGATCCCGGAGCAGTTCCGCCACGCCATCTGGAAGGGCCTCCTGGATTACCGGCAGCTGCACGACTTCTCCTCCCCGCCCCACCTCCTCCGCACGCCCAGCGGGGCCTCTACGGTCAGCGTGGGCTCCAGCGAGGCCCGGGGCGAGCGGGTGATCGACGCCGTGCGCTTCACCCTCCGCCAGACCATCTCCTTCCCGCCCCGCGACGACTGGAACGACTTCAACTTCGACCTGGACGCCCGCCGGAACAAGCAGCAGCGCATCAAAGAGGAAGGGGAGTGAAGGCCGCGTCCCCTCCTCCGGCTGGCCCGAAGACCCTCCCCCACCCCAGGGTCTTCACACACACACACACACACACACACACACACACACACACACACACACACTCCCCTGTTTTCTGTTCTGACACTCCTTCCCCAAATCGGTGGGAGGGAAGCCAAGCCCGGTGCACGCCACGAACTCACTCGCGACCTGTAGCTTTTTTACCTTCAAGCGGTTGTTGTTGTTTTGCTTTGGCTTTAAAAGCTGGCCGTTGTTTTTATGTTTTAAATCACAGCTGGGGTGTGTGTGTGTGTGAATGTGTGTGGGTGTGAGGGCTGGGTAACTTTTACGGTTAAAAGTAAGGAAGCCCACCACCCCCACCCCAGAAAAATGGATGATTTGTCTGGCAAATTACCGCTCTTTGGCTGACTTGAGTGCGTCTTTTGTGGGAGATACACACACACCGTCCAGTTTTTGTTGTTTGCACATGCAACGTGTGCTGTAATTGTGGCCAGGTCTTTCCCGGAATTGCAGCCTCACTTTAGAGCAGCGCTGTCCAATCTTGGCCACTTCCAAGACTTGTGGACTTCAACTCCCAGAATGAATTTCCTTCTGCCTCCTCGAGTGGAGAGACTACAGAGAAAGGGATTATAAGAGAGTAAGCAGGCCACAATGGGGATACACATCTAAAAGAAGGCATTGGATTCAGGGAATTCTGGGAGCCGAAGTCCCACGAGTCTTAAAAGTTGTCAGTTTAAAGTCAACTTCAGTTGACCACGTTTTGCTTCTGAGTTTTCAAATCAGAAGACGAGAACTTTCCAGATAAGACAGATGGGATGTACGGTAGGTGATTCAGCAGCTCCCTGGTCCCTTTGGTTGCAGACACATGGGTAGGATAGTCCCCTTCCATGTATTCAGGAGACAACTGCTGAATTTACAAGAAGCCAGATCCGTTGACAAGCCGGTGGCACCAGGGTGAGGTGCGCACGGCTTTGTGTTCAGTTCTCGCAATCCTTACGGATCGTTGCTTTGCAGCGGAAAAATGGACACTCTGCTTTTTTTTTTTCTTCCCCACCCTAGCTGCAATACCCACATAGGTTTAGTAGCAACACCATGTAGCAGCAACAGCTCCTAGTAGCAATAGGCACATCGTGCTGGGAAGTTTGAAGCTCATCCGAGAGTAGCTGGAATCGCTTAAGTGGGTCACACGGGTTGAGAGATGCTTCTTCCCATGTCCCAGAATCCCCCAGGCTGTCTGGAGGAAAAAACACTGTTGTGTTTCCACAGTTGTGGTGTCTTTGCTCACACAAATGGAAAAGCACTGCTGTGTTTCCACAGTTGTGGTGTCTTTGCTCACACAAATGCAAAAACACTGCTGTGTTTCCAGAGTCGTGGTGTCTTTGCTCACACAAATGCAAAAACACTTGTTGTGTTTCCACAGTTGTGGTGTCTTTGCTCACACAAATGCAAAAACACTGCTGTGCTTCCACAGTTGTGGTGTTTTTGCTCACACGAGTGCAAAGTCACTTCTGGCTGACCCACCCAGCTGGGAGTGCCACAGCATCAGCTCTGCCACTCAAGCAATGGCCCCTTTTCTGAGTTTAAGGCCCTGGTGCATGTTCAGAGTTTTAAGGTCGTGTTGTATTTCCTGGGGGGGGGGGTATGAGGAGTAGCCCATAAGAAGGTGGCCTAGGACTGGAGGAAGGGGGGGTTGGTGTGTGGATGGCCCTGATCCGCAGCCAGGAGAGCCCTTAGCAACTGACCCCCCTTCCCTGCTCCACCCCCCCCCCCCCCCCCCCGGCTTCTCTTGAACATTTCAGTGTAGGGGAACTTTCAGGCTGCTTTATCAGTCCTACACCAGCTGTTCTTTCAGTTCCTCCCTCCCTCCCTTCCTCTGTCCCTCCTTTTCCCTTTTCCTTCCTCTCTCCTTCCTTTTCTCTTCCCTACTCCCATTCCTTCCTCCTACCCTTCCTTCTTTTCTCTATACCTCCCTTCCTTCTGTCCCTCCTTTCCTCCCTCCATCCTTTCGTTCTTTCCTTCCTTCCTTCTCTCTCTTCTTTCCTCTCTGTATCCCTCCTTTCTTCCTCCTGTCTTTTTCCTCCCTCTATCTCTCCCTTCTGTGCTTCCTCTCTCCCTCCTTCCCTCCCTCCTTTCATATCTTCATCTTTTCCTTCCTTCCCTCAACTATTTCCTCCCTCTTTCTTTCTTTCCTTTCTTTCTTTCTTTCTCCCTCTCTTCTTTCCTCTCTGTATCCCTCCCTCCTTTCTTCCTCCTTCTCTTCCTCCTGTCTTTTCCCTCCCTCTCTCTCCCTTCTGTGCTTCCTCTCTCCCTCCTTCCCTCCCTCCTTTCATATCTTCATCTTTTCCTTCCATCCTTCCTTCCTTCCCTCAACTATTTCCTTCCTCCCTCTTTCTTTCTTTCTTTCTTTCTTTCTTTCTTTCTTTCTTTCTCCCTCTCTTCTTTTCTCTCTGAATCCTTCCCTCCTTTCTTCCTCTCTTCCTCCTGTCTTTTTCCTCCCTCTATCTCTCCCTTCCTTCTGTGCTTCCTCCCTCCCTCCTTTCATATCTTCATTTTTTCCTTCCTTCCCTCCTTCAACCATTTCCTTCCTTCCTTCCTTCCTTCCTTCCTTCCTTCCTTCCTTCCTTCCTTTTCTTTCCCTTTCTCTCTTTCTCCACCTCCATTCAATCTTTGGGAAGGTGAATTCTCCACTGCAGGCGGGTTGCAGACCTTAATGGACTTTGTGAAAGAAAATCTCTTTATTGGCTTTGAGAAACGTGGCTTACAGCCTTCGCTCTTTGCTTTCCGCTCCTCCGGGCTGCCATCTGGGGCTGAATTCCCGTTCCTCTGCCTTCTTCCTCCGTCTTCCTTGGAGCTGCCAGCCTTGCAGTGATGGCCTGCCTCCCTCCCTCCGCCGCTCCCGTGGCCTAATTCTCAAATCCTCCTCCGCAGATCAGTCCCTTTGCAGGTTTTTGCCAGGTTAAAAAAAAAAAAGTTTTGTAAGTAGAGATTTGTACGTATTTTTATTTTGTTTTGTTTTGGGGGGTAACGTCCTGGAACCTTTTTACATCGGTTCCTCCTGATTTTTTTTTTTGTATTGTTTATTGTCTTTCCTTGGGGAATCGGGGTGCCTCAGAACCACAGTTTTGTTTGCCTTTTTTGTTTTTTAATTCAATTGTTTTTACGGGGGAAAAGCTTGATTGCAAACTGCTATGGATGGGGAACATCTTCACACAGTTTCTGCCCCAATGAAGACAAAAGCAGAAGGGGGGGATTGGATGCAGACCCCCCCCCCATAAGGGAAGGGGAGGGGAGAGAAAGGAACAAGGGGGGGGGGTTTGACTTGACTTCAAGAGTCCTAGATTTCAAAGCAATTTTATTTGTCTCACTTCAACCACTGTAATCCACAGGTTGTTCGCGACTTGTAAGAAGTATTAAATTTGACCCCAAAAAAAATAACCACTCTGTTGTTCTCGATGCCAGTGTAAATAAAAGCCACATTTAAATGTTCCTGGTGCTTGAGATGGTCGCTTTATTCGGGGAGAGGGGGAGGGGCAGATGGAGGATTTGGGGGGGGGGAAATGCCCTCCGGTCCTCGACAATGTCGTTCGCAAAGTGACGGCGCTGAAAAAAAAAAGACTTAGGACTGTGTTTGACACTTAAGACTGTCGCAGCGTCCCCGTGGGTCACAGGATCAAAATCCAGACTCTTGGCAACTGGCTTGTACTTAGGACGGTTGCAGTGATAATCCCTTTTTGCAGCCTTCCGACCAGCAAAGTCAATGGGGGGGACTAGATTCGCTTAACGACCGCCTTCTTGTGGAAAACAAAGAGGACTTTTACGAATTCCAAAGGGTGAAACAGGTTTATTTTTGCGCAAGGTTCAGAAGCAATTAGAGATAGGCATTCTGAACAGGGGGCTGGTTCCAAACTACAATCTTTATAGCTCTCCCCTTTCTAAGGAGCAAAGGGAGTATTCATGGAATCTTACGTTGTATAACATTCAGTTAGTGCAAAGATCGATGGCACAATGGAAGACACAGTTGCAGATCAATGATGAGAGGCTGGGAGAGGTTAATGTCAAGAGAGGAATATTTCAAGGAGATTCATTGTCACCATTCCTATTTGTTATTGCACTGTTTCCTCTGTCAACCATACTGAATAACTCAGGACATGGCTATCAAACATCAAAAACATCTACCAGACTATCCCACCTCCTTTATATGGATGATCTGAAGCTGTATGGAAAAACATCATCTGAAATAGAATCGCTGCTCAACACTGTCCGTATATATACCCAAGATATTGTAATGGAGTTTGGCTTGGACAAATGTGCCACACTTACTATCAAACAAGGAAAAATAGTGAAAACTGAAGGAATCAAGATGCCCCACGAACATAACATTAAGAGTCTGGATGAGGAAGAATACTACAAATACTTGGGTATCCTTCAAGCTGACAACATCAAGCACACTGAAGTCAAGAAAAAGATTAGAGGTGAATACATCAAGAGAGTGAAGAAGATCTTAAAGTCCAAACTCAATGGAGGAAATACCATAAAGGCAATCAACACCTTGGCAATTCCTGTCATTAGATACACAGCTGGAATAGTGGACTGGACTCAAGCAGAACTAAAAGCAATGGATAGGAAGACCAGAAAAATAATGACAATGAATCATGCCCTTCATCCACGCAGTGATATTGACAGACTTTATCTACCAAGGCAAATAGGTGGGCGTGGAATGCTACAAGTACATCAGATGGTTGAAGAAGAAGAAATGGCTTTGGAAGAATATCTAATACTAATTTCAGTGCATCAGGAAGGCTTACTAACTACTGGAGAGACCAAACTGGCCTACAAGAAAGACCAAATGAAGAACAGAATAGAGGCATGGGAAGACAAAGCACTACATGGCCAATAAATTTAAAAAATAGCTGGGAAAGCAGATAATAACAAGACCTGGCAATGGCTAAGAGCAGGAAAATTGAAGAAAGAGACCGAGGGACTAATTCTGGCTGCACAAGACCAAGCCTTAAGGACAAATGCATATAAAGTCAAAATTGAGAAGACAGCAACAGACGGTAAGTGCTGCCTATGCAAAGAAGCTGAAGAAACAGTGGACCACCTGGTAAGCTGTTGCAAGAAGATCACACAGACTGACTACAAGCAGCGGCATGACAAAGTAGCAACAATGGTGCATTGGAAGATCTGCAAAAAATATCATTTGCCTGTAGGCAAAAACTGGTGGGATCATAAAATAGAGAAAGTCATAGAAAATGATAAAATTAAACTGCTCTGGGACTTCAGAATTCAAACAGACAAGCACCTGCAACATAACACCCAGACTTAACAATTGTCGATAAGAAAGACAAAAAAGTCTGGATAGTGGACGTG